GCTCCGGGGCGGCGGGCGGCGGCGGTGGCGGGAAGGGCGGGCCGCAGGCCTCCTGCTCCAGGCGGATTTGGTTCTGGAGTTGCTGGATTTTCAGAGCGTCCCTGGGAGAAGACAGAAAAGCGACACGGTCAAAGACTCAAACGGAAGGAATGTTCATTTCGGGGCAGCGTTTGACCTGGTGGCTGAACTTCCCCCTGGGCCGGCTCCAAAGAGCCCCTGCAGTTACTCGTCTTAAGTTGTGTGATCTGCAATCAGGTCTGCACGGCGCTCAAAATCAATTACAGAGGACCGGCTATCGTAAGTCTTGGTTGAGGGGTTGCCTAACATGATCCCAAAGGGCTGACAAATCGTGATGGAAATTTGGTGGGACCTCCAGGAGCCATCATTCATTTTCTCAAAATCAGATGATAAGAGAAGAACTTCTGACACGAATTCTCAGTCCTCTCATTTGGAGTCACTTTCTGGAAAAAGAATCCCATCAGAAGTACAGAGTTGAAAGAAAAGACACACTTGACAAGTTATTTTTGGCAGATTTAGGGTAGTCCAATTTGCCTACTTCAACTCTGCATTCAATATGCCCGTCTGATTTTTTTTTGAAGAATCCTCTAAGTCCTTACCACATGCAAAATTCTAGTATTAAACTCTGAATTGCAAATTACTAACATTAATTTTTATGCATAGTGATATTTTGTGTTCTATGTCTAAAACAAATGCAGACAATTCCTTAAAATATGTTCTATTAAGAAGCATTAAAAAAAAGGCCCACTGCCATTCAATAGATGCTCATAGGACAGGGCAGACTACCCTTGTGCTTCTGAGACGGTTAACTGTACAGAGTAGAAAGCCTCATCTTCGCCCCACCCCACCCCAGAGCAGCAGGTGGTTTCGAACCGATTTTGCTGTTAGCAGCCCAGTGCATAACTCACAATGCCACCTGGGCTTCTGTTGAGAAAATGTAGTGTGAACTGGAGTTTTTGTCATAATGAAAGTTGGTGAGTTGCTAACATTTAACTAGGCTTAACTAAAACCCAGGGTCATTCGGTCATAGTGACTGCAGAGTTTCTGAAACTGGTTATCTTTCTGGGAGCATCCAGCCTCATCTCTCTCTCACCAAGCAGCTGGTGGATGTAACCACCAGCCTTTGTAGCAGTCCAATGTTTACTTTCACTCTAATTCACTCAGGCTTTTTTCTTTGGCTCAATTGTGCACATAATAGACTTGCCTTTATTAATGTCAGATACACATAGCAAACCATGGCTGCCAAAAGAAAGCTAAACAGTAGGTGGCACTGTAACAATCAGATACAACATAACTTGAACAGGAACACTTCTTTGAGCTTTAAACACTTAAAACTAATATAAAACCCAACGTTTTCTTATCTACAGGTATTTAATGTTTAAAATTAAAGCTTTCACAGACTCAAGGCAATAAAAGGAATCCATGCTGCAGATTACAATTATAAAACAAAAAAGGACCTGGCTCTGTTACCAGGTATTATTAGATCTGGGGACATAAAGCAAGTTGAAAACTCCCTCCTGTGCCTACTACTCTGTTCTTTAAGTAACCAGTCAAGCAATTACTCTTCCATTCATGCAAAGACGGGCCAAAGAAACACTAGAGACCTTTCCATTTTCTTAGGAACCGAAAAGTATACAGTGAAGATGGGTCTCTATGTTTGATCTGTGCAGAGTATCAACGATTCTAACAGCAAGGAGCTATGTAAGCGCTTGAATTTCATTTGAGTCCCTTAAAACCGCTACACTGCTGCCAGGTCTCTCCAGATGTTGCGTGGCTTGGGTAGACTAGCCAGTGGAGGAGCTCCGGCATTCATCTATTTAAGGTTGGCCCTGGACCACAACTCATAAAAACCACCCACCAGCCTGGATAGTGGATTATGAGTTGGGCTTCTAATTACAGTTCAAAACCACTAGCCACTCACTCCATGGAAGAAAGATGAGACTTTCCACTCCCCAAAAGATTTAGTCTCGAAACCCATAGGGACATGTCTACCCTGTCCTATAGGGTGGCTATGAGTTGGCATCTAATGGATGGCACTGATTTTGGTTTTGGCTTTGAGTCCTTATACCCATCACCTGAAATATCATTCAGAATATTTATTCTGAATCGCTACACACTCCTTCTGTTCTCCCTTTCTAACCTTTAAAAAATATTTCCTAGCTATGGCAAAATACATCCAATTCCTGAAATGTTTGTCAACAACTCTCTTCAACTGATCTGTGCACCTGGGCTGTGTGTGCTCTGGGTGCCTTTCCTCAATGACGGCCTTGCTCTCTTACTTTTGGCCAGCCTGGCCTCAAAGCAGCCAGCGCCACAGCTGCACTTTAAGGTATTTTAAAGTTTGGCCTGGCGTTAGCAACTAGCATGGGCGTCTTATCATGCCCTGTATCTGCTGTGTTGGTTCTTCTGCCTCAAGACGAGGGAGTGGCTCCCCAGAAGCCTTCAGGAAAGTCCAGACTGCTGCTTTATTGGCTATCACTTTCTTCTCATTCTGGCATTTCAAAGGACACCCAAACTCGCTCACCCAAGCTAGCTTGAAACTGCTCGCTTGACATTTTTAGTAATAACCAACAGTTCGAGTCATTATTAACAACACAGCATTTCACAAGAAATTAATAGGCATTCTAGTGATTTGGCTGCTAGTGCACACTGTACAGTGAAGACCGGGGCCAGGGTTTCCACTTCCCGGTTTTTTTCCCCGGGTGGTTTCAGCACTGGGTGAGGAAGACAATATGAATGTGAGATACTGGAAAGGATGAGGAAGAGAGTGCAAAGATAGTATTTGGAATTTTCAATTGTCTACTTTGATTTTCTAATTTTTGTCCCCCCAAATATCTAAGTTAAGTGGATTTAAAACCTGGATTCCAAGATCACAAAATGCACAATTAAAAAGCGTTTTCTCAACTCTCATCAAGTTAATTTCATAAAATCAGTTTTCAAGACAAAGAGCCAGAGATGGTAAGGTACCAGAGAAGCAAGATAGCGTGTGCCTTTGAACTAACAAACCCTCAAAACTCACTGTCATTGAGTCAACACTGGCTCATAGCAACTTTGCAGGTCAGGGTAGAACTGCCCCTGAGTTTCCAAGACTGTAACTGTTTATGGAAGTAGAAAGCCTCGTCTTTCTCCCACAGAGTGGCTGGTGGTTTTGAACTGCTGACCTTGCAGTTAGTAGTAGCCCAAAGTAAACACTATGCCACCAGGGCCATTCTTCAATAGTACTTTTAAAAATTACTTGCTTTAAAACTTCATTATAATTCTGGTTTCTCATTTCTTTCTACTAGTCTATCTCAAAAATGAAACAGGAAAATGACATGGAACTTCTTGAAGTCAGGCCACTAGTTCTTGACACTCCAATGGCAAGTACAGCATTTGTAACCACTGTTTACATCTTACGGTTTGAATCTCTGATTTTGCCCAGCTATTTTTTCTGTTCCTCTCAGTGTCCTTCTGCGTCTTCTCCCCATTATGCTTACAATTCCATGGGTCTGGAAATTCCATTTCTACCCCTCCTTCTGTTCCATGGTGAAGGAAGTAAGATGGCCCAGACTTTTTGTGGAGCACCTGTCACAGTCCTTTGCAAATGGTGAAACTGAGGTTCTGAATAACTTGTTCAAGGTCACAAAACAAGTTGCCTGAGAATCCATGTTAGAACCTATGCTTATATCTGGCTCTCCCCACTATGCCAGGAACTTGGATATTTACAAAACAGAAAAGTGGTTCTTACGCCTCTCCCAGTGATTATCCAGTCTTTCAAAAAACCAAACTCACTGCCACTGAGTCAATTCTGACTCAATTTATGGGACCCCTATACGGCATGGGAGAACTATCCTTGTAGGTTTCCGAGAATGTAACTCTTTACAGGAGTAGAAAGCCTAATCTTTTTCCTCAAGAACAACTGATGGTTTCGAACTGCTCACCTCCCAGCTAGTAGCCCAATGCACAACCACTTTGCCAAGGTCTTTAGGTTTTTGTTGGACTATTAACCTACATGGTGGCAGTTCACAGCTGGCCAGAGATGTAGAAGGCTTGGCGATGCCCTTCCGTGAGCATGTCAGACAAGTACACTGACTCCATGGAGAAGTTCTGTCATGGAGCCTGAGCTGGAGTCCAGTCCTCAGCAGTGGGCTGAGCACTTCCCTACCCTTAGGCTTCTTCAGACAGAGCAGACAGAGCCTTTCAGATGGGAATTTTCAGTCCAAGTTTGGTTTTACATTTTTAAGAATACTTGACTTCCGAACATAGTTCTTTTTAGGGTGGAATGGTGCAAACAACAAGAAGGCCTTAGCACTTTAGGAAGGAAATACATCAATATGAACTCAAAGGATTTCTACATTACAAAAAATCAAGTCCTCTTCGCTCCCACCCCAACGGTCTGCATAAAACTTTCAGCATCATTTTAGAGAGGGTTGAATGGGACAAAGATTTCGATTTGATAGAATTTTTTTTTTTTAAGGGAGACCTAGAACCTTACTTACTTTACGGTTTAATAACCTCTCCTCTCACTAGATGAAAACTCAAACAAACCAAACTCGCTGCCCAGTCCTAAAGCAACCTTAAAGAATTGTAACCCCAAACCACAGATTAGTAGTCCCAAACTAGGGTGGTCCAGGAGCAAAAGGCTATATTTGGTGTTGGACTGATGTGGGTCCTGGCTTGGAACCCAATTCCACAGGCCACTGGCTGGGGAATCACTGGGAGGATGAAAGGCGCACAATGCTGAAGCCTGAAGTGGAAGAGAGACCTCTGTAAACCGGGGCAATGTTTCCCTTTCTGCAGGGTTTCCGTCTGACCTCTTCCCAGGACAAGGAGCTGGCCAAGGAACAGCAGAGGCGGGAAGGTGAATATGGACAAGAAGGGGACCTGGAGATGGGGAAGAAGCGGGTCCAGAGGCTCAGCCCTCTTCCAGCTGCTCCTCACCCATACCCTGAGCGTAAACCCATTAGGAGGGGAATAGCACTCATCTGAGGGTGGACATGGGCGAGACTTATTTACAAGCTCCTCAGGAGGTAGATATTATATGCTATTATTTCCACTTTTCTTCATTCTCCAGAGGCCAGCGAGGTCACGTGACTTGTCTAAT